GATTGGTTGTTGCTAAGGGATTTAGGGCAGTGATCTAAGATGTTGGGGGACGTAAAGAAACTCCCCCCCCCAGCTCCAAAGTTCACTTAGGAAAATATTATCTAGGGAGGATGCAGCTCAGATATGTGGGAGACTTTCAGGAGTCGAGCAAATCTCTGATACGTTCTGAATCCGGATAACTTTTGTGATGCGTGCTGAGTTCGGAGGAAGTTCCTTGATACCTGCTGAGACTGGAGAGCAGATAAAGGCCCTAAGGAGTGTTTAGAATTACAAAAGTTCTGTTAGCACTGCTGACACTAAAAGGTTTCTGGTTAAAGATTTTCCTGGAGGCTGCTAGAACTCTGGCTTCAGATTGACTCACAATAGCATTTTCAATGGCTGATTTTTTGAAAGTACATCACCAGGCCTTTCTTCCAAGGCACCTCTGTGTGGACTGAACCACCAATCTTCCATTTTGCAGCTGAGCATGTTAACTGTCTGTACCTCTCTGGGGCTCTAATTCAGCAGATACCTCAAAATCATCACCTTTTGATATTGTTCTTAATAAACGCACCAAACACACACTCACATATCACCTTAGAAAGAACTAAATAAAAAACTAAAGTACTAATGTGAAAATGCTCACAATGTCAAAGTACAATAACAATATTGTTATTACTATTATTATTAGAGGAGCTCTGGTAGCATAGTGCCTAAGGCACTTGACTGCTGACTAGAAGGCTGGCAGTTCAAACCCACCAGCCACTCCTTGGAGAGAATATGGGGCAATCTACTTCTGTAGTGATACTACCTCGGAAACCCAAGGAGGGGTCGCTATGAGTTGGGTCCAACTCGACAACACATAACAACAACAACATTATTATTAGACTATTCTTAGGCCATCCTCAACCCTCTCTATTAAGTAATAGCATGGCCAGCATAGTGAGTAGTTAAGAGCTCTGATTCTGGAGCCAGACTGCCTAAGCTCCAAATCCCGGCTCTTGACCTAGCTACCTAACCTCTCCATGCCTGAGTGTTCTCATCTCTAAAATGGAAATACTAACAGGACTTTCTTTCTAGGGTTGCTATGAGGATTAAATGAGTTGACATGATTTGTTATGATATGAAAGGACAGAGATACACTGCCTAGGTCCCCCTTCAAGGAAGGACTGGTTGTCGTACTGCAGGAAGTATGGTCAGTGCGCAGCCTTCAGCACTCATCTCCTCTAGGGTCCATTCTCGCTGCAGAGACCTGCTTCACCCAAGGTCATGCCCTTCCATGGGCAGGCCACACTGGGTGTCTGAGCAAGGTGGGAGGATAAAGGTCCAGTGATTTCTACCTTATACAGGACATTCTGACAGCAACACTGGCCTCAAGCTCCCTGCCAGATTGTCCCAGGCTCTATTGAGGCTGAATTCAGTTCTAATTTCTCTGTCTTCTCTCCCTTCCGCTCAAAGGTGTTAATCCCTAATAAACATCTCACACCCCAAACTCTGTCTCAACTACTGCTTCGAAAGAACCCAACAGTATTTGTTAAATATTTAGAATCATGCCTGGCATGTAGTAAACAGGATGTGATAAGTGCTTGTTAAATAAAATTAAATAAGTAATCTGAAAAGACAGCATCTTCATTGCTCATTGCTCTTAGTGAAGATGTTGTAATTATTATTAATTAATGATGAGGAAATATTGATTCTGCTAATATATCTATTGCAGTGCTGTGCTTGCGCTTCCGGATTTTTTGTCAGTATTATCTTTTCTGTGCTTGACTTTACAAATTCAATTTCTCATTGCTTACAAGGGTATTTTTCTGACATTTTCAATTTAGATTAAACAACTTTGACGAACATCTCACATGAATTTATATATAACCTACACAAAAGCTAGAATCAAGACTTTTCAGTTGTGGGAAGGACACATCAATGTAGCCATTGCATGTCAGCCTCAAGGAGGATTGTTTGCAGGTGGTGTAACGAGAGATAAACAAATGGAATTTGGCCTTGGGACCCTGGAGCCCATCACAGCTTTGAAGTTATATTTCATTTACAGATCTGTGGCTTTCCTTCTGTGGGAAAAAGAACTAATTTTGGCCTTTTATCTCAGGTTTCTAATAATGTTGTGTTGTGAGCTGCTATCAAGTTGGTTCTGACTCATAGCAACTCTCTGTATGACGGAATGCAACACTGACCGGTCCTGCACCATCCTAACAATTGTCATGCCACCTGAGTCCGTTGTTGCAGCCACTGTGTCAATCCATCTTGTTGAATGTCTTCCTCTTTTTTTATAACCCTTTACTTTCCCAAGCATGATGTCCTTCTCCAGGGACTGGTTCCTTCTGATAACATGTCCAAACTATGTAAGACCATCCTCACGTCTAATGAGTATTCTGGATGTACTTCTTCCAAGACATGTTTGCTCTCTGGCAGTCCACGGTACGTTCACTATTCCTCACCAACACCACAATTCAAAGGCATTGACTCTTTGGTCTACCTTACTCATTGACCAGCTTTCGTATGCATTTGAGGTGATTTCAAATTCCGTGGCTTGGGTCAGGTACACATTAGTCCTCAAAGTAACATCTTTGCCTTTTAACACTTTTGTAGCAGATTTGCCCAATGCAATTTCTTGTTTGATTTCTTAATTGCTGTTTCCATGGGTGTTAGCTGTGGATCTAAGTAAAATGAAATCCTTGACAACTTCAATCTTTTCTCCATTTATCATGATGTTATTTATTGGTGCAGTCGTGAGGATTTTTATTTTCTTTATGTTGAGATGTAATCCATACTGAAGGCTGTAGTCTTTGATCTTCATTTGTAAGTGCTTCAAGTCCTCTTTATTTTCAACAAACAAGGTTGTTTCATCTGCATATCAAAGGTTGTTAATAAGTCTTCCTCCAATCCTGATGCCCAGTTCTTCATATAATCAGTCCAGTTTTTCTGTTTGACACAATGAACACTAATGACCAAAGACCAGACAAGTTTCTAAATATAGCCCTTGGAATTCCCCAGCATTCAAGAAGTCTTTGTCTCCTAAAATAGCCAGGCAACACTTAAGCATGTGCAAATGAGTACGCAGCCTCCAGCTCATCACCTGGGAACAGGCCTTAGGAAGGGAGAGGGGTATTATGCAGTCCTTCAGTCATTGATTGGATCAAGCATAACTATTCATTCAGTCCCAGTCATAAATATTCATTAAGGTCCCAATGACTAAAGGACCCTAGATGTTGGAGCTTCCTCTTTTGGCCCTACTGGAGTGGAGAGAACATTTATGAATGGAAGAGAGTGCATCATGTCCCTGAGGACCATGGAAGAAGTCTCATACTGCTGGGACCTTTCTCAGATCTTGACTAATGAATATCCTCACTTGTATCCTTTCCAGTTATAATAAAGTGGTAACTGTAAGTACAGGTAAGATATGTTAGAGAATTAACAAACTCACAAGGGACTTTGAGACTCTCATTTATCTCAGGGTAGTTGATTCAGGGAAAGGCTATAAAGGTGGTTGATTTTTGAAGACCCAGCTCTGGGTGGCTGTGTGACAGCAAAAGGCTGCACAGGTAGTTGATGAAGAAGAACAGTCCTTCTAGTTGTGGCCTAGCCCAGGGGGCTGGAGAGAAGTGAGGAGAGGGGCAGCTGGTCTGAAATGCAGGGAATTGTGCAGATTCCTGAGCATATAGCTGGTAATATCTCTGGGTGGCCAGGGATAAATCTGACCAAACTCTTGGGTGGTTAGGATGAGAGAAGAAATGCCATGGCTGGAAGCAAGGATCATAGAGATGGGGGAAGGTGAAGCCTGGATCCACTTCCAGATGGCAACTGGATTCATGCTGATTCCGACCACACAGTTAATGATAAAGGTGGGATTTGACTACCTTGCCCCTTTAGTAGTACAGTTAGGCATGCAGCATTTTTC